CAAGCAGGGTCCTCAACCGAAATCTGATGCAAACAAAAGAACAAGAGGCTCACAACCGCGACAAAGTGCTCCGAAAAAAAGGAAGTACAAGCTCCAAGGGTATTCATCTGCGCTTACTATCGCAGGTGTACATGTTCTCAACCCAGTCGCGCATGTCAGCACACATCCTGCCGCTGAGAAAACTAGTACTCTGCCGGAAGCGCTTGCGAAGGTAGGATGGCAGGCCCACGTCATCCGTACAGACGGAGTACAACAACAAAAAAACAACAAACACCCATGAAGCCCGACGAACTATCCCAGTGTCCGGAGACACCTCGGTGCCGCCCAAAGTCAGCATGCCATAGCCCTGGGCTACGAAGTCGTTGATGAGCTCAACCTGCGCGCGCTGAACACAAGGGCCTTGATGATTAGACTAGGGTTTTGAGGTAGGAGCCCTAGAATAGCAGTCACGCTGGCTTCGAAAAAGGGTCCAGACGATTGTGGATCAATAAACTCACATTGGCCGTAAGCCTAAAGCCCCGAAACCCTGAATCCCCTATTGAACCCCCAATAAGCCCTAAAATCCTAAACCCCCCCAATAAGGCCTACAGGCCTAAACCCCCGGAAAAAAAGCCCTATAAACCCCCAAAACCCCCCCAAGCAAGCCTTCAAGTCCCAAACCTAAACCCTAAACCCTGACCCTAAGTCCTAAACCCTAAGAGTCCCACCAAACCCCCCCAAACAAAGCATAATCAGCTCGACAGCTGCTGGGCTCGCGGCTCTTCCGATTTTCAGGTCCACCTCGCTTCATGACGGGGTGGCTCCCTTAAAGGATCCCTTAAAGGGTTCCTTAAACAAATCTACGTATAAGGGATCCTTTAAGGGATCCCTTAAAGGGAACTCCAGAAAGTTGGATTATGGAATAATGGCAGGATCCCCTATAATTTACCTCAAAGGGATTATGATAATGATATTCCAACTTTCCGGCTTCTACTGTAAAGGATCCCATAAAGGGTTCCTTAAAGGGATCTACAAGGGTTCCCTTAAAGAAGCCCTTAGACGGAACCCTGAAAGGAACCTTTAAAAGGGATATAGGAAAGGGCTCCCTTTAAGGGCCAGCTCTGTCGGGCCCGGGCGCGTAGAATGAGGGTCTGGCTGAAGTTTCAAGGCTTCGCTGTTGGAGTGTATGAATGCAAAACCTTATAAAAAAATATGTTCAGGGATTCTCTGATATTTGCTTGCGCGTCACTGGGAGCAGACCGGGCTGCGGAAACTTTGCAGGTACAAGCTGCTGATGCTACACACGAGAGTTTAGAAGCTACGGCGTTTATGGAAATCGACCTAGACCACAGCTGACCTATTCCAGCAGCTCCATTGTTGTTTACAAAAGAAGTCTTGTCAGAGTTGGAAGCTTGACTCACAGGTGGCTGGGTCAGAATGGGCGGAAGTACATTTTATCATACCCATAGGGGGGTGTGAAACGGCCGAGAGGGTGGGTTGTCAAATTCACCCCGAAACTCTTGAAGCTCCTTGCAAATTACAACTTCTATTCAACAAAACACATAGCAGCCTTCATCAGAGAAATACACAGAAAACACTGGCGGAATCTGTTGTATAGCATTGCATACCTGCTGCAAGAGTCTTCCCCGGGCTCCGGGTCAATAGGGTTACGCACGGGGAATTCCGAAAAACTCCTGGTCTAGTACGAACAAACACAATCACGATTAGGGGCTCTTACTAGGGATATAGGGTGTAGGGTATAGGGGTCTGAACAGTCAGTAAAGATTATAGTATCCCCTTGAAGGGTTTTTTAGACTATTCATCCTCCTACTGCCGCCACCGCTACTGAAATGCTGGCCTCTGCGTCTACCAATCACAACGGCGACGCTTGATAGGTTAAAAGCTGCTGAAAGACTCAAACAAAGACCACAAAGACATAGGCCTGAGAAGGCTGCAGTGACACCAGCACTCAACATCAACCATCTGCTTCACACCTGCACGCCCATCTTCAATAACAACCCATCACACCATCAAGATGGTCGACATCGGCACCGCCGAAGCACCATCACCAGGACTTAGGATTTAGGCTTCATGGGTCTCGATGGCCGCCTCTTCCTATTTCCGGCAGCCCGGAACCCTGACAGACAGCAGCAAGGCTAACGCTAGAGAATCAGAAAGCCTAGAAGCACCTTGCCGAAACCCTAAACCTTGGAAACACACTGCGCCTCGAGTTCACTTCCATTGACCACCCAGTCCAGGTTTGTGAAGCGGCATCTGAGCTTCTAGCTTAGGGCCTACGGTTTAGGGTTTAGGGTACCCTAAACTCTACAAAACTCCAGGGCTTGAGGTTTTCTGGGATTCGTCGGTGTAGGTGCGAGGGTTTGAGGCTTAGAGAGCTCGAGGTTTGTCTTTGGGGGGAGAGCTCGAGGTTTGTCTTTGGGGGATCTAGGGTGTCTTGCTCTGGGCTTAGGGCCTTTTTGTGGGGTTTTGCAGGTTGGGCTATAGCTGCAGGCTGTAGAGCCAGTCTCCGGCTCAGCATTTAGGGTTGGTTTAGAGTTTAGGGTTTAGAACGGTTTGATTGCAATAACGTTCTCCAAACGCCTATGCAGGTTCCACGATGAGAATGAGGATGATGATGTTGATGGTGGTGGTGATGATGATGGCGCCGGTCGTGGTGCTGCTGCCGGTGGTGGCGGTGATGATGACCAACAATGACCAGTGATGGTGATCCACATTGCCGGCAACTGCAAGGTGCGAGGATCTCAGATCACAACCTAAGGCTCAGGTTCAGGGGCTCAGGCCTAATTACATACATCTGTATATATATATACACATATACATATACATATACATATATATATATATATATAGGTATATATACATACATACAATATATGTTACATTATATTTTTGGCTTTGGGGGACTCTCTTTTTGCTGGCCCAGGAGAGCTCCGCATGCAACCCAGAGCTCTGAGCAAGGAGTCCCTCCCTTCGCCTCGGCAACCCCCCACGCAATGCGCTGGCCATCTTAATATGGGAGTTTCCGAAAAGAGGGGGTACCTTTGAAGGGATCCTTTAAGGGTTCCTTTAAGGGCCCCTATAAGGGATCTATAGGGGTTTAGGGTTTAGGGTTTGGGAGTTTCCGAAAATAGGGGTACCTTATGTTGGGGTCCTTATGATACGGATCCTACTATTTAGGGTACTATATTAGCTGTCAAAATTATGGCCCTTTTTTGGGGGTACCCTAAATATTAGGTGCCGTATTATGATAAGGACCCAAAAAGGGACCATGATTTTGACAGCCACCCGTATAGGGTTAGGGGTTCCTTTTACAGGGGTCTATAAGGAATACTATAAGGGCTACGGGGGGTTCCTTATCGTATCTAGAATCTAATGGGCCCCAAAACCCTATTCTAATCAACGCCCCTATATTACGGGGCCGTGTCTGTTGCAATGGTCGTTCTCAGCAAGATATTGAATATATTGCATACCTCAACCCACCAACACTTACTTTTTGTAGGGTCCCTATAAACTCCATATTAGGGTGTATAATCAGAAGCTACAAAAAAGTAGGGTTTTGGTAGTTGAGGTTAGCGCTGTAACGCTAGGAAGCGGTATCACTATTTGCGGGAATCGACGGAGTGATGCTCTTCGTGCTCTTGCTGTACATAGACTTTTTCTGATTTTGTGTGTTTCGGCTGTGCATATCTTCGCAATAGTTTATGCTGACACATTGGAACGCGCTTCCTAAGTCTGGATCACTGCCCTAAACCACTCAGCTCATCAGGCAAATCCGGTCCTTGATACCTCCAATGACTCGCGCAGCGGGAATGCCAAGGAAGCTAGTTTGGCCCAAGGTTCCCCCAGTCCCCAGGCTTTCTCACCCCAAAACCCTGAACCCGAAAAACCTAAACCCTAAACTCCTCCGTGGCCCGATTTTCTCTCTCTCTTCCGTCCAAAAGCTCCCATTTTCTGAGTGGGATCCTCAGTCCTGCCCTCTGAACCCCAAATCCTGATCACTCTGCCTTGTAGTACTTCCTATATGATCCTGCTTCATCAACTAGAAAGGGTCCTACAGCAACCCCAAAACCCTGAAAACCCTTCGTCCCTACTCCACGGTTTCGGGTTTCTTTTTTTAAATGCAATGCCCTTTTCCTTGCGTCCAAGGCTCCACGGTTTCGGGTTTAGGGGTCAGGGTTTAGAGTTGATCCACAATCGAAAGCCCCAAAGGAAACCTTGAGTTGGATCAGCCCCCGAACGCTTTGCCCATGGTACAACCGCACCCTTGGGGTGGATCGTACGGGCACACGACAACAACGCGGTGTGTCTTGGTGGGCACATGCGAGTTTCAGAAATTGAGGGGCCCCACTAGAAATCTCTGAATAGCAGGATCGTTTTTCTGCGGACCGCAACATGAGAGACCCCTAATTTCAAGAAACACCACCTTGCTTCGCAGTAGAGGAGGAAGGCCGGTGGAGAGTCGTTGATAGAGATGCGGGGCGGATAGGCTTTGAGCAGCATGTGAGATCAATATAGGGGCCTTAATATTTAGAATAGGATTTTGTGGTATATTATACTATAATATAACGAGGAAGCCCCTAAACAGTATAGGTGATTATCCAGGCCCCCGTAGTAGATACTCTGTCTTCCCGATGCCGATGAAAGACTGGGAATCCTCCTCATTTGCGTCATGTGGTGACGAGATGTCAGAGAGGTGAGACTGAGAAAACCGAAGACTCCCATATCCCTCAGCTTACGAAGAATGGTAGTAATGGCTTCCTTTTAAAGGGATCCCTTAAGGGATCTATAGGGTTTAGAGTTTAGGGTTTAGGGGTTTAGGGTTTACCTTTGGTTAGAAGGGAATGGAAGACTGGTAGTAATAGTAGTTACACTTGTACCCTATTCCTCCATTCCCTACTAACCAAAGGTAAGTCAATTCAGGAACATTCCTTGCATCAGAACGAGGAGCCCTCTAAAAGTTCATTACTTACTTCAGGAATATCGGTGTCTCTGGCAAACACTCATGTGCTTCCCGTGTTCACATCAAGCCCATCCAGGTGTTTGCGCTGCTTCTCGAGCTTCCTGACAAGGTTGTTCAAAGGTTTGCGGCGCGGAGGTTCGGAATTTGGGATTGGAAATTCAGGGTGTACGGTAAAGCCGTTTGGGGCCTCGGTAAGGGTCAAATAAGCAACCTACAGGGCTTTGGTCATACTTCATGTTAGTCATATCAGTTTAAATGCTTGAAACTGTTCATCTGGTTAGACAAATCAGCCTGGTAGCATTCAGCAAGAGCAACCCAGAACAGCCACACCAAAGAAAAAAAAACCTAAACCCTAAACCCCAAACCCGAAACCCTAAACCCTAAACTCTAATTGAAAGCTCAGCTTCTTCCGCTGGCGCTGTAGCGTGATGCTCTGCTGGTTGAGAAGGTACAGGACCTTCGCCTGGAACTCCCCGTACCTGAACGGCTCGACGCGTCAGGAGTCGCGCTCTGGGGCGCAGAGTTTAGGGTTTATACGGAATTGCCTAGACTGTCTGGGGGGCTCCTGATTATAATATACTATAATGGGCCGCAAAACCCTATTCTTTCTTAAGGCCCCTATTACAGGGGTTTAGGGGTTGAGGGGGTTCGTTTTTCTTTTTTCTTTTGAGCTCCTTTTCTCCAGTGCCCCGAAAGGTCTGAGAGGCCAGGACAGCTTTTCGGGGTTTAGGAGTTTAGGGTGTGGGGTTTGGGGTTTAGGGCGCAGGGTTCAGGAATTAGTAAGCCAGGGCAGCAACAGTCAGTCGCAATCATAATCGCACACTTAAGCTGAATCGCACAGGAACAGTACAAGTAACAGGTGATGCATGCAAGAGACTTCAAGTAGACAACAGTTGGTGATCACAATTAACACCATTATAGGCAAGCCACCTCACATGTCGAAACAGCTGCGAACAACAGCAACCGCTAGAGCGATCAACATCGAAAACTGACATCAGGTTTCTCAGGTCCAAGGGGAAAAAGCCAGATTACAAGAGGAAGAGGAACTACGGCTTCTTGACTGCATGTGCTGTCGGCTGCGTGTCGATTCCGTGCAAGAAGCTTCCAAGATCAGTAAAGATGCTCCAAAGTCCCGTGCTCGTCGTCATCGGCTTCCTTCTTTTTCGCCTGCTTGTCCTGCGTATGATCGCCCCGTTCTAATGTGACCCCGTCTGCTTAAGGCTTCTGTATGGCCCAGTAGTCGATCCCAAACCCTGAAGGACGTCCTCCACGTACCTCCCCATCCAGCTGATGGCAAACTTGCACATTGCCTGCGAGCTGGCTGTCCAACTCACTGTCTTCCGCTCTGGACGGAAGAAATCGCAAGGAACCTGGCCGTGCGATCTGGGCCTAGGTGAGTGAGTTCTTTTCCGACGCCTTTGTAGACAAGGCACCCACAAACCCGAATGGACACCAGTTTCATGGCCCCGCTGGCAGGCATGGAGGGTAGGATTTTGGATGTTCAGCTCTTTGGCCAGACCTTGTGGTCCTGGATTTGAGGGTTCGGTGAGTTCGAAGCCCTGCTCGCATGTGAACTCTGGGTGCTTCAAACGTTTGGGGTGAGAAAGAGAGTAACGGAGCGAGAGACACAGAGAGAGGGAGAGAGAGAGAGCGAGAGAGAGAGCGAGAGAGAGAGCGAGAGAGAGAGCGAGAGAGAGAGTGAGAGCGGAGAGATTGACAGAGACTGTGACTGCGACTGAGAGGGATGCAGAGAGCGAAAGCCAGCACACACTCACCGGCACATGCCTATGCACACCAGCGCAGTCACTCTCACACCCATGAAGACCCCTCCAATGCAACCGTGATTGGTATATGGTAGTAAGTTACAGCTGATTGCAGTATCTGTTGGTATAATATAGTATACTCTTGTAGTTTATACTTTACTATAGTATATTATCGTAGATGACAAAAGATGATTCAATGAGACTACTTGAGAGCTGGTCACGAAAGCTAGAAGCACGAGGTCCGGTGCTGAGCTCTGCAAAGCGATGTGCACGACAGTAGCGGAGGGAAAGTTTGGGCCGGTGGGTGAAGGGTGCAGGCGTTGCTCGTTCATTTAACTCTTGAGAAAGTAATGTGCGAACGACAACTAGAGGTAACTCTGGAGAGAAGACCGCACTTCAGTCGCCGAACGTCAGACACAAACAAAACCAAGGGACCTTGTGGAGGGGGGGGGTGGGGGGGGACCTCATGATAGGGGGGGGGGGCCTGACAAGGGGAAGGGGGGGGGGGCCCCCCCCCCCCCCTACCCCCCACCTTAACTCTTGGACGTCCCACCTGATAAGGTGCAAACCCTGTTTTTTCCCTAGTGCCTTAATACAAGTGAATTGCTAAAGGGCAACTCCCGCGAGCTCCACAGAGCTAGCTTTCGTGATAAAGATAGTATAGGACAGTATATTCTAACATATTATAGTATATCCCAGTATATTATGGTATCTTATAGTCGGCACCTCCCAGTTCACCTCCTTGATGGGAGCTGGAGGATCCACGGAGACGACGGACAAAGCGAGCTTGCCGAAGGGCAGGGCTTCGTCGTGGTCGGTCATCGACTGGTCCGGCTCCCAGCGCATGGACACCTGAGCAGCAACGCTTAGGGTTGAGGGTTTAGGGTTGAGGGTTTAGAGTTTTTAGGGTTTAGAGTTGAGGGTTTAGGGCTTAGGATATGTATGTGCTTCTTGAACTTTGTCTGTGTCTTCGATGATTGCTTTGGGCATGACTGCCGTTGCAGGTTCTTCCTCCCTGAATGGCGACGGTGGTGAGAAGAGCTGTAGCCGCGCAGTGGTGGCAGAGGCTGCTGTCGCGCTTGTGGCAGCTTGCACGAGGTTTCTTTGTGTTTCACATTTTGCCGCCAGCAGACAAAACCCGAATTGGGCTGTGTGGTTGGCTGTTGGTGTCCTGCTGACTCGGTGCAAGGCTCCCCGAAGACTCCTCCATTCCACGATTACGGACGACTGCTATAGACTGAGGAAAAGAGAAACCAATTTATTCGAGGACAGTTGCTGAAGTCGTCGCATTTCGGGTGCTATGTGTTATTGGTCGCAGTACGTTGGAGTGGTCTTCCTTGAGTTCTCATGGGAGATCTTCTGTCGAAGTCGTGCCTTATATGCGTACTGAGAATGACACGCGAATCAGAGACGGGAAGAGGGAAGATTATGAATCTGTTCTAGTCGACTGGATGTTGTGTGCGTGCAACCAAGCACATTATGACTCTCCTTGCACTGCCAGTGTTACTGAACCGGTTGAGTCGGCACATTTGGCATCTTCCCTCGCCGTCCCATGAAAACTTTGGCCGACGGTTGAAACAAAGCACCATCATAAGATTGCAGCGGGAACAGCGACGGAACAAGCCTAAACCCAGGCCCGTTAGCTACAGCTGACCTTCGCGCTCACGTTCGCCAACTGCTCCGAGGATGTTTCGACCACGAACTCCGGAATGTCCTTGTCTGGGCTAAGGCTTTTTTTTGTTGAGGACCTTTTTCCAGTGCATGGAGAGCCTCAATGAGGCAGGCCCGGTTCAGATGTGCTAAGGTTTAGGGCTTCGTGCTTCGATCTCTCGTGCTACTGGCCCTCGGAGCTTCCCAAAGACATGGCAAACTCACAAGAGAGACCCTTAATGGGGATCCCTATAATGTTCTATATAATGGATATATAATAGCTACGTGAAGGGTATATACCTAGGGGTCCTTGCCCTAGTTTGAAAGAGAGCCCTAGTCTGAAGAGCCAAGGGGTAGCATAGTCGCAACGGTAGTTTCAGTAATGCAAAGCTGTTGTCCTTGGTATTCTAGGCGCCTTAACAATTAGAATAGGGTTTTGGTGTTGTTTACACGACACTACACTTACAAAAAGGAACCCCGAAATAGTCTTGGCAATTATTGAGGCCGCTGTTACTCGTTTTACCAACCCTGCCTTGATCTCGATGTGGTGAATGGGCAAAGGAACGTTTGCCTGCACACGGCCGGCCTCCAACACGACCTGGGGCATTAGTAAGCAAAAGTTTGAATGGAGATACCCCATATAAACCCACTTACTGTGAAGCCTAAATAGGTAGGGATCTCTGCTTCTGTGGGAGCTTCCGAAAATTAGGGGAGGGAGGGGGGGGGGTGCCGCCTTGGCTTGGGGTCCGTATAAGAAGGATCCTATTATTTAGGGTACTAGATTAGGGTCCCCTATGTTCGGAAACTCCCATGTCTTTTCGGGTCCCTGAGACCAGTACCCTGAACCCTAAACCCTCAACCCTAAAGACCAGTCCCTGACCTCCATCCGAGCGTTGGTACTCCCATGCGCGGCGGAGACCAAGTGGTCCTTGTCGGAGTCATTGAACTGGCCCAGCAGGTCGCTGACCACCTGAACCGATAGGCATACAACAGAATAACCGTTTCAAAGACTATAACATAACATGGTACCAGATACTCAATAATATATTTATAACAAAATACCGTATAGAAAATTATAACATAATTAGAGTACCATATACTAAAACATAAAATGATCTAATGCAACACGATCTAACATGATTTGTGTAGGGTTTCGGGGAGTTCTCTGCAAGTTCGGACGTCAGGGTTTAGCTTAGGGTTGAGGGGTTAGGGTTTAGGGTTTCATATCGGGGCCTTAATAGCTAGAATAAGGTTTTGAGGCGCACTATACTATAATTACAGTAAGGAACCACCAGAATAGTATTGGTAATGATTTAAGCCCCTATATCAGGGTGCTGAGGGCTAAGGATGGTCTCTGCTTTCCCGGGATCTCGCCTTCTTCTCCAAGTTGCTCCCTTTAACAACAGCACTGTATTCCGATTCGAAGATCTGCTTGATGCGGGCAATGGGAACTATCCACAACACACCCTTGAGGGTGAGTGTGATGGCAAGGATGGCGATTCCACCATCCGTCGTCACCTTGCCTTTGTGGTACGGAGTGTCCTGGGATGCTCGCATCACGCTCCAGGTAGTGGGTTACTCTCGCCCTCAAAGTCACATTCCACTGGCTCGAGGCGCAGGAAACCCACAAGCCTGAACTCAACAATTGTTGAGCTCTAAACGCAAACTAAAGCCCATGAAATAAGCCTGAACAATAAACCCTAAACGTTCAACCCTAGCCAAAGCCCCTGAAAGAAAGACGCAGCCCCAGAGGCTTTCATCGCAATGAGCCGGCAGAAGATCCAGTACCAGGCGCTAAGCACCGAATCAAAGGCCATCTCTCCTTTTTTTTGGGGGGGGGCACCGGCTGTCCATGGTTTTTTTGGGTTTAGGGTTTACAGTAGGGGTTTAGGGGTCAAGGGTTTGGGGGTTTAGTGGATTAGGTAGGTTCTGGGTGTTTAAAGGATCTAAGACCCGTGTGTGAAAATTCAAAGAGCAGGGTCCTTCGGGTTGGGATTTGGGTGTGGGATAGACGCATATTGTCTTCGTCTGCTGCACGAGGCACCAGTAACACAACAGCAAGAGACGCATAGCAAGGATACTGTTCCCTGAAACCCTAAAACCGTACGCCTCAAACCCTGACCCCTGAAACCCTCAGTATCATCACGTACTTCAATACCCTAGAATACACTATCATATGCGATAATATACCACAACCTACTTATAAGATACTACAACATGCTATAATGGACTACAATATGCTATAAGATGCTAGTCATGTACTAACAAATGCTCTACTGTACTATTACTGCGCTACAACATTCTATAATTCATCGTAGCCACCGTATCCTCGGGAAAGCCACTGGTTCGACTCCTATGCCCTGTGACACCCCACGGAGGGACATGAAACAGCGGCGGAGGCCTCAAAAGGATCACGAGAGGATCCCTACCTAGAGCCCGACATCAGTTCCCAATAGGGTTTAGGGTTTAGGGTTCTACTACTGGTAATGTAGGAACCTGATTAAGAAACCTCGGGCCTTTATTAGGGTTCCTTAGCATGAATCCTACTATTTTGGTGCTACAGGCCCAAAATGTGTCTTAATCAGGTTCCTACATTACGGGAGCACTATATTTCCCCAGAGCCCCTGCCTCCCCAAACCCTGAGCCCTAATCCCGGGCTCAGCAGCAAAAAAAGGCCCGTAAACCTAGCAACCAAAATCCCATTTAGCTCACACCAATCCCCCGTAAAATCCGATAAAACCGCATAAACGCCGGTTCGACCCGAGCTTCCATCGTTCTCTTCGAACTCCTGAAGCAGGCACCCGGCTATTAGAGCCACAAGCTGAATGAGCACAAAGAGGATGGCCACCATGCCTCAGCTCTTGCTGAGGATTTTTGTCAGGTTTTGGGGTGAGAGATTTTTAGGGGTTAGGGGCGTGGTTTCGACTTTCCTTTGTGCTTAGTTTAGGGTTTTGGGTGCAGGACTTAGGGCTGGGGTGCTGAAGGGATCTTAAGCGGTTGAGAATTTCGAACCGAGGGTCTGGGATTGAAAAAAGATGCCATATTCATGACATATCAGTAGCAGCAGTCGTCATCGTCGTCGGAGCAATCATGACACTGGTATTAGTACGACTACAATATGACACAAATGACAGGTGACTAGTAGCAAACATAACGATATTAGGTTAGAAACGTTTAAGCGGACAACATACCTTTTTGCTACATGCACATGCATACATACATGCATGCATACATACAAGAATACACACATACATCTATATATATATATAGATATAGATATGGAAATCGAGATAAATAGATGGATCGGTAGAAAGATAAACATATCCCTACAATGGACTGTAACTTTGGTTTAGCTCCTAAACGAAGGCCCAGGTGCTGGTGCTCTTCCACAATGTCCTGGGCTCTCCGGGCCCCGGGCACTGAAAGGCAAAGCATGCTTGTAACGGTTCAGAACACGGTTTCTGGTTAAGGTTTCACAGTTTAGGGGTTTTTTTTTTTTAAAGTGCAATGGCTTCTTTCTGTTTAGGGTTTAGGGTCCCTAAACCCTAAACCCTAAACTTGAATGAGGGGCTTCGAGCTCGGGAGTGGGGCGGTGTGTGTGTGTGAGTGTCGTGCTCGACGACTAGGAGCAGAGAAGCTATGAGTTCAAGGACAGTAAGAACACGATCATGTTCCCAATCTACAAGGGCCAATTCAAAAAAAAAAGAGCTCCTTGAAGAGATCTATAAGGGTCCCTTCAAAGGGACCAATAAGGGCTAGTTGGAGGGAGTTCAAGCACGCTAGCGATCGGTGGGCCCTTTGCTGTTCCTGGTTTAGGGCTCTAGGGATTCAGGGCTCAGGGCTTTAGGGTTTAGGGCTTAGGGCTTGAGGGCTTTTGGGTTTAGGGCTTTAGGGCTTTAGGGATTAGGGCTTCAGGGTTTAGGCTTTAGGGTTTGGAGTCTGGGGCCTTGGGGTTTAGGGCTTAAATGCTTGAGGTTTAGGGCTTTTAGGGCTCTGGGGTAGGGGGCTTTGGGGTTTACGATGTTACTATGCTGAACTTAGAACCCTAGCAACAACTGTAAATTTAGGCTGTTTCTTAGGGATTATAATAACAAAAAATTGAAGATTTTTCCTATCTACCCCTAAGGTTTGAACGCCCAAGAGTCATGGCGAGGACCTGCAGCATGTCCAGATATCGAGCCGACTTGGCAATGCGGAAGAGCCTGGCCACCCGGGAATATAGCAAACTGTAGTAGGTGAAACCGGACTATAGTAGATAATACGGGGTTACAGTAGATGAGTTTCCGAAAACGGGGGGCCCGAATATAGCACCCTAAGTAGTAGGATCCTTACTATAAGGATCCCAAAATCAGGTGCCCCACATTTTCGGAAACTCCCATGTTATGGTGTAATAAGGGGGCCTGGCCAAGCGGATGATCCGCAAAAAGGACGAGGACGGCAAGAACTGGCCCACGAGGATATTGAGCCAGTAGGGCCTTCGTCAGGATGTTTTTGTTTTTTTTTGAGGGCCCTTTTCCTAGCCAGGGTTTAGGGTTTTAGGGTTTATGGTCTAGGGTTATAGGGTTCAGGGTTTAGGGCTCTGCAGAAAGATTCTGCCCACGAGTCTATTGTTAGTATTAGTGTTAGTAAGTGTTAGATTTAGTATTCTTGTTATTGCTGTTTATTGTTATTCTTGCTATTATAACCATACTAATCTTACTACTACTATTCTTATTCTGGTCGTATTTGGGGTTGTATAGAGCCCCAAAGCGGCAGGTGACATGATCGCCACAAGGTCCACGAGGTTGTCCGACTTTTTCACGAACTCCATGACGCGGCTCTTTCGGGTGAAGGGTCGTCTGCCGAAGTCGTCGAGGTTGAAGTACTCCAACTGCCTCGTCGCACAGCGCACTCAGTTAAGAACCACAACTCTCGAGATCTTGAAAGCCTGCGATTCATATTATCGTGAGGAGCATCTAATATTCTGACTAAACGAATCGGGCGGTTTTTGACCTAGCACCAGCCGTGGGATTGTGCAAAAGCGGCAAAAGAACATCGCAATCTTCTCAGTGAGCACCGAATAATTATCGTACGCGGCCATGTCCTGAATCAATCACTGTATCCATGCTACGTGTGTAGCACTCGCTGAAAAGTGCACTCGGAAGAACAAAGCTAAGCATCCGGATCAGAACGTGCGCAAGTCGTAGTGATGCTAGTTGCCGAGGTGATTAAAGCCCCAACCAGACCACATCCCAAAAATACGACGCCGTAAAGGCTAAGCTCTAACGTAGATAAGCTTCGAAACCCCTTACAACCTTTTAAGAACCCTGGTAGGCACTTTAAGAGCCCCGATAATCCCTAAACCGTAAGCCCCTACAAGAACCCCTAAATGCCCCAGACAATGCCAGGGTGCGGGCTCAGAAGCTCGAGTCTAACAAAGGGGGCACAAGCCAGTCGAACAAGGTAATCGACGCTGAAGACCACGAGGCACATCACCTGCAAAGTTATGGCTTGGGCTTTAGAGCCTACTGCTTCAGGGTTTGGGGTTTAGGACGGCTCGAAGCTTTACGGCTTAGATTTTTCGGTTCGGGTTGGCTTCGGGAGTTTGCGAGCCAAGATTTTGACTCGCACCTTCAGCCCTTCGTGACTCAGCGCGGGAGATCTTATGCAGATAGGATCAGCTACCCAGAAAGCCTCATACCACTTGCTTCAGCGTTAAGTCCCTCTATACACTAAAACGTTAAGGTACATGCCTTCATTGAAAGGGTATGGTGCACTGTGGGCATCTTCTTACAAAACCAAAGTACCTCCGGTTACTCCAAGTCTGACCTTGCGCAAAGGCATCCCTGCTGTGGCATCCAATGCAGATCCCCACATGCCCGGAGCTGTCAAGGCTTCAGGGCATAGGGCTCAGGGTTTAGGCAAAATCAACCTAATACTGATATTCATGATACACATAGTGAAACAACAATAACAAGTAGTAATAACAAGAACAATAGATAACAGTGATAGTGGCAAGGAAAATGCTAACAAGCGTGTTGGGTGGCTGTTATAGGGGCCCTTGTAAGTAGAGCAGGGTATTGGGACCCGCTATACTATACTTGCAATAAGGAACCCCCAAAATAGTATAGGTCATTACTGAGGCCCCTATATCATGTGCTCCGTCTCCGACGGATCACCTGGAGAAAGCCTTTCCTACAGGAAGAGGAGCCCCAGCGCCAAAGCCTAGCCTAGGTAGGGGCCTTAATAATCAGAATAAGGGCTCCTGAAAAGAATTCTACAAGGGATCTATAATAGAGTTCTATAATGTAGGGGCCTTAATAATTAGAATAGGGTTTGGGGGGCTCCTTATTACAATTCTAGTACGATATACCGCCAGACCCTGTTCTACTTACTAAGGCCCCTACATTGCTTCCTGCAGGCGAGCCCATGTCCGAGCCAACTTGTTTGAACTCCTAAGTTATCTCTAGACCCCAAAACTCTAGACCTGCAGCTAATACTAATATTAATACCAATACTAATAGTAATACTAATATTTCAACGAGTTCAAGTCGGAAAGTCCTAAATCCAAGACCCAACCCCTAAACAATAAACTGGAAACCCCAACCTTCACACAGTAAGCCAGACTAGGGAGCACTCTTCGCCTGGAAAGAGTTTGTACAGTCGCCCAGGTCCGCCATATCGCAGATTCCTTGCACATAATGCGGCTTCACCATGCCTCGTTCGGTGCAGGGCATTTGCAGGCTTCTTTTTCATGGGCGGGTGTAAGTCAGTTTTGGGTTTGGGGCTCTGGGGCTTGGGGAAAGTGTGAAAGAGGGCTGTTGGGCAAAGTAGTGGCTTAGGCGGGGGTGTAGGATTTCAGTACGCTTACAGGACTCTTACAAAGCGATTAGAGTAGGATGCTACGGGCACACCAACGCAGTCATGCTCGTGCTTCCTACTCTTGCTGCCGTCTTGGAGTAGTCCTTGAAGGAATGCAGCTTCAAGATCCGGGATGGTGAGAAGGCGACGGCTGGTCGTCCTATCCTGCTGCTACGACTACCCCGCTCCTTCCGCCTCAACGGCTACTGCTACGGCTATTCCACGACGACTAGCACTACTACCCTGTGCGGCTGAACACAGCACAGAGCCATTCAAAAGTGCTTATTGAAGTTTGAGCTAAACCCTAAACCCTAAACCCCAAAGCCTGAAGCCTCTTAGGCGAAACTGCAGAGCTCTGCAACAGCAATCCTAAACCCCCAAGTCCGAGGCCCTCTTATGCCCTCAAGTTCCACAGCTCTCTCCCATCCAAATGAGGCCAATGATAAGCATATAAAGCGAGAACGGTGGAAGCATTGGAATCTTCGGCTTTTTCGGCTCCCGTTCGCAGAACATGTGGAGATAGCGGTTTTCGTCCCAAAAACCACAACAAGGAACACTCGAATCTGATTATGACTGTTGATATTTGTCATGTTTGAAAAACGCTTCAGGAATCTATGATCGAACGCGCCAGCGCTGTAAATACCAGCATGTTCGGCTCCAGGAATACCAGAAGAGTACAACATACTTCGAAAATGAACATGTCACCGTGTTGTCGCACTTATTGAAGATTCAACGCAAAAAACACTTGAATAAACCTTAGTCACGGAAAAGTTGCTTGAAAGACTAGCTTTAAAAGGATGCTTCCCTGTGGCACCGGTGGGGAACCCTGCTGATGCTACTCTGCTACGCTACTACTAAGACGACTACCACCACGACCACGACCACTTTCACTTCCACTTGTCCTTCTCCTTCTACTTCGACTTCCACTTCCACGTCTACTTCTTCTTCTACTACTACTACTGCTGCTGCTGCTGCTGCTACTACTACTACTACTACTACTCCTGCTACTACTCCTACTACTACTACTACTACTACTACTACTACTACTACTACTACTACTACTACTACTACTCCTGCTACTACTACTACTACTACTACTACTACTACTACTACTACTACTACTACTACTACTACTACTACTACTACTACTACTACTACTACTACTACTACTACTACTGCTACTGCTAACCATAAACCAGTATGGTCACAAATTGCATTCAAGAGACGTACGAGGTTCGCCACCGTGACCAGCAGAATGAACCAGAACCAGACCTCATGCCAGGATGTGGTAGAGACAACAAGTAGGTAAGTTTCAAAAGACATTAAACATGGTCGATCCTACCAATCCTTAAATGGGCCCCTCGCAATGGATTCCACAAAGAAACCCTGATTGCAAGATCCGCATGTCTATGTGCTATGTGCGTGAAAAGCAATACTCCTTGAAGAGGGATCTCTCAATAAACGAATGCTACTATAATCGCTTGCCTTGATGAAATATCCCTCCCCTACATGCTTTACCTAAGCATGCCACTCGGGTCTCCCGACGCAGTGCACCCAAACCCCACATCACCGACGCTGAACCCATTGGGGTTGAAGGTACGTGCTATGATTGAGGGTGGGTAGGGTTTAGGGCCGGATTGAAGCTTTATGGGTTTGGGTTTTCAACGCTGACAGTTCAGGGCGTCAGTGAAGCTCCTGAAACAAGGACCCGAAGCCGAGACCAAGACCCCTTCACAAGGGAGCCGCTTTGAGAAGGGCTCCCCCCGGATCAGGGATTTAGGATTTAGGGTTTAGGGTTTTTTTTTTTTAGGGTTTAGGGTTTAGGGTTTAGGAATTCTGTAACATAAGAATGTTCTGGTGAGCTCGAACCAGGCCTGCGCCAACCTGCAGCTGCGATCGTCATCCAGAGTCCTCAAGGGTTTGCGGCTTGCTGTGAGGCCTTGAAGGCCCAGGATTTAGGCTCGGGTTTAGGGCTCAGGATTTACGACTTAAGTTTCAAGGCCTTTACGGTTCAATCTTGCAGGTTTCGGTTGAGATTTAGGATTTAGGAAAAGGCTCACAGTGAGGGTTTCTACATGCGGCATAAAGCTGTCAGAAATGCGCAATATGCAGCTCAACAAGAGCCAAGAGTCATGAAGATCCTCTCGATGGTGGTGAGTCGGAGAGTCCTCGGCTGGTGGCTCGAGCGATTTAATCTCTGAACTAAACCTCTGCGCCAGGATGTCAGATCTATTGAAGGTCTGCCTAAGATAGACTACATTTCCACCAAACCTGCAATCATCCCTGCCATCTTGCTATTGACACGTCGCCATGAACGCCACGCTCATTGGCTCGTTGGCAACAACAACAACAACAGCAGCAGCAGGAGCAGCAACAACAACAACAACAGCAGCAGCAACAGCGATGGCAACGGCAACAGCAGCAACCGCAGCCCACGCTGCAGTAGCAACAGCAACAGCAACAGCATCACCACCTGAATGAAAACTTAGGGCCGGCGGCTCACGTATCGAATCATCGTCGCCATCATGATCTTCTTCTTCTTCATCATCATCATCATCATCGCCGAACAACCCATCAGCCGATCTATCAACCAACTAACCAATCATCAAACAATCAGTACATATGTAAATCAGTAAATCAGTAAACAAGTCAGCTAGTCAGCCAGGCAGGCAGGCAGTCAATCAATCAAACAACCAACCAACCAACCAATCAATCAATCAATCCATCGACAAAGCAACCAGTTCATTCAACTCAAACAACCAATCAATCAACCACCCCAATCACTCAGTCAGTCAGTCACGAGCAAGCAAACAAGCAAGAAAGCTAGCAAGCAATCATCAACTCAATCAACCAATCAACCAACCAATCCACCAACCAATCAACCAACCAATCAACTGATCAATCAAATCATATTGAGAGGCTTCTGCAGCGGCAGGCTGTGAATGCTGCATGCTTGACGTGCTGCTTTGCGTTCCCCTCTAAATTATCGTTTCATCATCCATCATCATGACATAATGGATATCTCTCTTCTTCGAAGAGCCGTAAAGCTAGAGGCCCCAAAACCCTATTCTAATCAATAAGGCCCCTGTATTTCTAGTGTCTAATGCTCCATGCCGAGGGTCGGATGGCCCTCCCTCAGCAGAGCTCGCCGGACGTCCTTCCAGGAACAGAACTTCTTCGAGATGCTCCCGAAAAAGTTCACGTCCTCTTTGGCGAGTTTAGGGCTGCGGGTTTCATGGTTCCCTCCGGGTCCTATAAGGCCTCTGGATCTGGAAGGAGACGGATGTAGTGCTTGTCAGGAGGATGGCATGTTCATGGAGGATCTGGCTTATGGAGCTCCGGATGAAGCTGAGGAAGATCAGGATTACATCAACTAACCTCATCCTTACCGCGGCATATGACGCTGGCAATGACTCTGATATCGTGCGGTTGGGGAAGATGCTACCGAACGGGCTGGTGGCAATGATTTTGTTGATGTTTGCGCTGATACACAATGAAGAAGAAAGGCCCAGCGTGGTTCATCGTCGATACTAGTATTGCGACTCATCGTCGACAGCTAGCCGTGCTGGCCTAGTTGCGGGTAGACATAGCACTATCATGGCTGCAGGAAGTTACGCTCCGTTTATGGCAACCGGCTTTGGCAGTGGCAGCTGCAGCTGCAGTCGCCATCGCAGCCGCAGCCGCAGGGGCAGTGGCAGTAGTAGAAGCAGCAACAGCAGCAGCAGCAACAGTAGCTGGGAGGAAGTAGGGCAGCAGCAACCACATCTGCAGTCATGACCCCATCTATACGGGTACTGCATTGTCGCTCCGGTTGTCGCCGTCGCCGTCGAAGAGTTTGATTTTGACACTGCCTCTTGAAAGTTTGCAGAGTAATATAGGGGCCTTAATCAGCAGAATAGGGTTTTGGGGCCCATTATACTATAATTATAGTAAGGAACCCATTATTCAATAATGATAATAAGGAACCCCCAAAGTATTATTGGTAGTTCTCAAGGCCCCTATAGTATCGATTGCTAATTCACTCACATGGCGTCGGATCATCGGCCACAAGAGTCGGCCTCGGTCCGGCGGTACTGGGGTCTGTGGCCTGGTGGAACTTCCTAATACAGGGGCCTTATGTAATAATTAATTACCAACGCTATTTTGGGAGCTTCTTATAGTGATAGTATAATGGGTTCCTTACTATAGTCATATTATAGTGGGCTCCAAAACCCTATTCTAGTTATCAAGGCCCCACTATTCATTGACGCGGCGGCGTCATCATCCTGTCGGTAGCTTGAGGGCTGATAAATTGGTCGGCGTGGCGCGCGAGGTGGGCTGTTGTGGCGCTGCGTCGACCGGTGTCTCTTGCGGCTCGCGTTTGTGTCCGTGGTGTCACACTCGCTCCATTGTCGCTGCGGGGCACGCGTTCTACGGTCAAACTATCATCAGTATCCGTCCGCTGTTGCTGCATATACCGATTCTTCTGAGTTATTGTTAATACTGATGTGTCCACCAATGTCTTGCGGGGTAATGGCTGAGTTGTCACTGCTCTGGCTGTTGCTACTGGGAATGATCTGAATCTGCTTGTGGTTCTCGGTTCTCTTCTTGGCACGGCATTCGGTGGTGATGATGGTAGTGTGGTGATGACGATGATGACTGCTAGTTTGATTGTAATGTTGTTGTCGCCGTCGTTTGACTAATGCTTAGAGCCAGAATTTATCACTCCTTATCGCTTCATCCTTTTGACTGGCATCAGAACTGTTTATAGCAACCCCTTGTTTATAGCAACCCTTATAGTGACCCTGAGGGTAACCCCTCCGGTAACCCTACACAACCCTCAGAGTAACCCCGAACCCTGAACCCTTGCGCTTCTTGGTAGTGGTTCCTGCGGGTCCGGTTCGTCGAAGGTGATCATGAGCTTGCAGGACATGTTCCTGAGCTCTTAAAGTCTCAAAGGCCTACTGTAATCCCTTCAGGGTATTCAAGGCAATTCAGGCTTTCTGCTTTGGGCCGGAACGTCCAGGTTCTTTCCACGGTCACGGAGGGCAGGTCTTAGGGTTTAAGTTGGGCTTCAACCGGTCTGAAAGACAGAATGATGCTTCTCTCAGACGTCAGGGGAGACAAGCTTCCTCACCGCCACGAGCGGCACGTCTTGCCGCAGTGTCCGCTTTGCGAGGTAGTCATAAAGCTCCCAAAAGAAGAACATGTCGAACACCTTCACGTCGGCTTAGGGGCTAAGGGGCTACAAAACATCCACGGCATCGAGCGAAGTATGGAACTAGCTACACTAGTGCTGTGATGATTTCTGGTCTTCCGGATGGGGGTTTCGTTACGGCACAATTCTTCTTGCAAGTAGTAAAGTACTATTTTGGATACGACCTGTCCTGCTAGCTCTGCACCTGCGACGCATGGGCTCATGCAGTCACCGCCACCAGTAGCAGACGACAGCAAGCACAACTGCAGCTGCGATCACAGCTTCATGGCAGTAGTACGAATCATCTGCCAACGTGCGAAGCTCGACCGTCCCAATACCGTAGTAGCAGTGACGCTGTGAACGCTGTCTGAAACATACAAAACGCACCCTACCTACTTGCCAGAAGTGACAACGTTCCGAAGCTACAGCCTGACAACACTGGACTTCAAGGCCTACTATGACATATTCGGATACTAACTGCGTCAAGCCTTCTATATTCCTGCTATAGCTGCCAATACTCTCAGTATCCTTCTTCTCGACCTGATTGCGGAAGAGAACTCGCTCGCTGCTGCTACAGGCGGATTCAGATTAAATTGACATGGTAGCTTCAGAGAAAAGGGGCGCCCATCTAGTTCCTAGCCCGTAGCATTCACATTGAAATCCTCCACTCCCCTTGAAAAAGGCAGGCCCACATGGCCTTGTTGGTCGGCGGGAGGAAGGGCAGAGGAAGGCGTTTTGCATCCTCCCCACTGGAGTCGTAGATGTCGCCACCTATGCTGAACACCTGGCTGCATACTGGCTTCAAGGTTTGGAGCCTAAGGTATAAGGTACAGGGTTTGGCATGCCCTTGAGAGTTTGGGGTTTTGGGCCTGAGGAATTAGGGAGTAGTAAGAAGCAGCAGCAGCAGCAGCATTACAAGAAATCAAGGTGATGCAACATAAATCATAACCGCCTGTGCAAAAGAGCGCTTGACGCACCCAATATAAACCTTGCAACCAGGCTACTGGTCGTGACGACTGGAGTGGAAGCCGCCAGTCCTGACCCTTCGCCCTCCAAAACCATCTAGAAATCCCTGGGCAAGCTCCCAGACAAAGCACAGCAGGTCTTCAACCCTAAACCCTAAACCCGGAACCTTACCGTAAGCCCTGAACCTTACAGTAAGCCCTGAACCTTACAGTAAGCCCTGACCCCTAAACCCTGAACCTTACAGTAAGCCCTGAACATTAAACCCTAAACCGCGAGCCTTGCTCCGAGGTCTCACTAAGTGCTCCCTCATCTCCGGCTCGACGCTACTCATCGAAGGCATGGCGACGCCGAGGATTTCTTGGGCTTAAGGCTCCCTTTAAAAGGGGACCCTTCTATGGAGCCTTATAGTACCCCCTTAAGGGCCCTACTGTGGAACCCGAGAGTAGCATTTAAGGGTTGCAGAGGGCTTTTAGAGTGTTCTGTATAGTATAGGAGGCTCCAAAAGTTCTTTACGAAGGATCTCGGCATTGTAAACAGCTTGTACACGAGCTTATGAAGCTTCCTGAGGGTTTGACCCGAGCTTATAGGCTTACAGGTTTGTAGGAGGGGTTTACATGAGTTTATATTAGCTCCAAAACTCATTAGGTATTGGCACTGACGGTCGCTTACTCGAGATTTCGACCTGCGATTGTCAGATCAGGGATATTGGACATCTGGCTTGGCCCGATTGTGACAGATCTGTTCTAGTTTGTACATTCCTGCTTTTGGCCCGACTTGCTCTTGCTTCCGGTTGAGCTGAACTTGAACAACAACTGCTGTGAGGAGCCGATGCCTGCAGATTTGGAACTGGCAGCGGTCAAATTGGATCCCACCTACTCACCAGGACATCACGCACAAGACAGAGACAGTAGACATTTTTTGCCATTGTGCACGAGAAGTAGCGTGTATCTGTGCATAGATACCTGTGGGCTTACTTTGCCAGCATTTAAATTGGTTGCGAACTTTACTCATATATCTATATCTATCCATATGTATACACATAAATATATATATATATATATCGAATTTATTTACTAATGTACTTACTTACTTGCTTGCTTACTCTTTGATCTTCTCAGTTATCTTTTCGTGCCTGTGTATGTACACATATGCATCTACATCTGCATCTCCATAGCATATGCATATACACACACAAAAACATACATGAACGCATATACATATACCGATACATATACATATTACACATATATGCATATGTATGCATAGAAATATACACAAAAATATACATATTCATGTACATAGACATAGATATATACATATACATGCATCCTATGCCATACACTTCTGCATGCATGCATACATACATACTTACTTACTTACTTATTTAACCTACTTACATACTTACATATTTACACACACATATAAATATGTACGCATGCACAGACGCCTGGTTCAAGTTGTGATTCTCATACTGCCGGCTGTAACTCTCAGGGGTCACTCTGCCGTGGGTCTGAGGAAGAGGCGCATTGTTCAGCACCACCCCGGCGACTGCCAGAACGGCCACCTGCGACCCCAAACCGCTACGGTCGGTTTAAGGGTTAGGATTTAGGTTTTACGGAGTAGGGTTTAGGGTTTGGGGTACTGCTCTTCATGCTGCTACGAGCTTTCTCACTATGACAGATGCTTCTGACTAGTGGCACATTGCCCGCACTCACCGTAAACGCGTGTCCACGGCATGTACGTGTTTGCAAATATAATAGCATACAGAGGCAAGTGATCTGTATAGATCCCTCTCTACTGGCTCATTTTCCGAACCCCCCCTCTATCACTGAATCGCCCTCTCAACTGCGAATCACCAAACCCGCACCGTGGATTAAATTCCAGACCTACGCCGTGACACCCTCAACTGTGGGCACTGTGAACCCTAAACTCTGAACCATCAGCCGGCGCACGGTAGGGTAGGAGCCCTCGGGAAGGGCGCAATCCGTGAAAAGGAAAGTGCGGATGATGTCCTGCCGTGACTTCTTCTCTTTGTTTGATGTTGAATAGACCAAAATAATTGCCCATGCAAACTTGCAACGATCGAAAAGAATAAATTTTTCAGAATCCACACAGGCGTTTGGCTTTAGGGCTTAAGAGCTTTGCTTGGGCCTCATGAGGCTTGAAAGGCCATGAGGGACTTGGGGCTTTGGGTTGGGTTTGGAGGCATAGGGGTTGAGGATTCAGGGGCTTTGCATCTTCTAAGTTGGCGGGGTTGGCATGGGAGGGAACCAGCACCCCAGGTCCCTCCCTCAATATGAATGTGAGGGATACGTCTACTCCCCTGTTTACGAGGTTCGTTGCATGAAGTATGAATGAACAGTCCACAACAAAAAGCAAGCGGTTTTTGAAATCATGGCGGAAACTTTGACCTGGACGAGAATGAAACCTTTCCAGGCCGGCCTTGGCATAGCAAATTTGCCATGCCTACTGCTTCCGACATCACGGGGTCCTAGTATAGTACCCTAAATGGCAGGATCCTTATTACAAGGATCCCTAAATAACCTAGCTTTCGGAAACTCCCACTGCTGTCCCGGACACTTCAGCCTGGACACCGTGAATCAAAAGACCACCCAGTCCCCCCGGGCTGGGTGCTGGGACCGCTCTACTTTACAGTGCCCAACTGTTGACGCCCTGCCATACATGGAAACCCGGTCATGGCCACCTCGCACTGCAATAAGGCGGTAGTTCTGAGACTGTCTTTTCGCCAACGCCGGACAGCGCCCGCCCAGACTCGACAAGGACCGCCGTGCAATGTGGGACTGGGCTCAGGAAGAGAGCGAGCCTCGACGGATCAAATGGGAGTTTCCGAAAATTAGGGGTACCTCATTTTGGGGATCCTTGTAATAAGGATCCTACTATACAGGGTACTTTAGTAGGGTCGCCGATTTTCGGAAACTCCCAAGTGTCTGAGGCGCTCGGAGCAGGCATTCGCCTGTGAGCAGGCTAATCTGCACCAGCATCAGCCCTGGTCGATCTCCCAATCGAGAAAAATCGGTTTAGGGTTTAGGGTTTAGGGTTTAGGGTTTAGGGTATGTGAAGTGCATGCAAGAGTCTTTCGGCGCATCGTGCAGAAGGTGAGATGTTGCAAACGATGTTTGTAAGAAGCGGGTGGCCGCTCTTTTTTTGCGCAGGGGAGTTCTCCAATGCAGGGTAACTCATTTCAGGATTTAAGGGTCCTCATGGCCAGGATCCGTGCCTTCCTCTGGAGGGCCCGAACCCTCAAAACCCTGAACCCTTAACCCCATAGAGAGGCCTTCACAACTGGAACAGGCTTTTGGGGTGCATGATCGTATAACTACCATAGGGGAACCCGAAGGAATGACAGCGACGCTTGGCTATGTTTGCTTCATCTTGCGGTGCAGCTGGAACGTTGTGCTTCTCCCTGTGCTATAGTCGTCCATATCAGAGTTGTGATGTCGCGTAGCTGAAAAATTGCTTTGGCACTTATTCCCTAAACCCTAGACCCTAGACCCTCGACCCTAAACCCTAGACCCTAGACCCTAAACCCTGAACCCCAGCCCCGACACCCAATAATGCTCCAAAAGTACCTCGAAAGAACTTGCTCCTGGAGAGACTTAAAGGCGATGTTCGGGTACTTCTCCTCCCGGATCAGCTTGCCTGGGGCCTGATACAGCTGACTCATAGGCCCCATAGTAGTTCCCTTTTGGGGTTCATACTTAGAAGCCTGTAGGGTAATCACAAAAAAGGAACTGCTACGGGGCCTATGGGTAGGATTCAGGGGTTTCGGGGTTCGGGGTTTAAGGTTGTGATTTTTCTTCTGAAGCCCTCTCTTCCTTTAGTTCGGTTTAGGTTTAAGGTTTAGGCTTACTTGAGGGGCTTTGGAGCGTAGGAGAGTACGGCAAGCACCTCGGACTGGGTGTCAGGGTCAAAGAACTCGGCCGCAAGTGCACTTACTTTACAAACAGCGGTAACGAACGGGTTGGTGAAGGGAAAAAGAAGCCAGCAGTTTGCAGAATCATCTAAAAGCCCTCAGACCCAGAATATTGCTAAGCCCTTGTCCCATACACTACAAACCCCAAAAAAGTCAGTATTGTTGCCACTTTCTTGCTCGTCGTAATATGCTGGCCGCATCACTTACCTTTGGTTAGTAGGGAATGGAGGAATGGTAGTAATAGTAGTCATATGAAAGTAATATGATCGTCATATGATAGTAATATGGTAGTAATAGTAGTTATAAGTTTTAATTGTACCCCATTCTTCCATTCCCTACTACTCAGAGCTAAGATCACCCCGAACCCATGAACCCCAAGACTGAGCCCCCATATCTTGGACCAGCCCCAGGCCGAAAATCATATTCTACTATACTATATTATTCTATTATTATATTACTATATTATTATATAATTATATTGTTATATCATTTTATTATTATATTATTATATATTTATATTTTTATATCATTTTATTATTATATTAGTACATTATTATATTGTTATATTATTATGTTATGATGTTACTATGTTATTATATTGGTCTAGTATTATATTATTATACTATTATTTTATTATTGTGTTATTACTATGTTAAAGGGTTTTGGGCTTAGGGTCGAGAGGCTAGGGCTTAGGGTTTTGTTTAAATGCAACGGCCCTTTCTCCGCATGAAGCCAGTCCAGCACCTGCCCTCTTGGGCTTGCACTGCTGGTTCGTCGAAATGGGCTTAGGTTTTTCTGTTAAAGCGCCTCTTTTCCAGCTCGCTTAGGGTTTAGGGTGTAGGGTTTAGCCCAAACCCCGAGCGCTCTACCCCGGTCCGAGCTCTCAAGCCCGCTAAGGCGGCCTTCTGCTGCTTCGGGACGGGATCGCTCCAGTCCACCTCATACAGCATCAGCCTGCGCGTGAGACTCTACAGCTCAGGGTTTGGGGCTTAGGGGGAGGACATACTGCCGATGGACGACATCCTGCACTCCCGTAAATACCCCGAAATATGGGAATCGATGAGATGATACATTCCTTGCGACGGAACATGCAAAACCGGTTTAGGGTTTAGGGGTGGAGAGTTCAAGGTCAAGGGGCTCGGGCTTTGCATCCAGGGCTTGCCATGCACAGCCCTGCAGGTAATGAGGGATCGACGCCTGAAGATGAGTTCGGGGTTAAGGTTTTGGGCTCAGGGTTTCGGGTTCGAGTGGTTCGTGCGCGCAGGGCTCAAAGGATTTAGAGTTTCAGGTCTGAGGTTTCGCGCTTAGACTCTGTCGATGTCGGGAAATTGTGCCAGGTGCAGCAGGACTCAGTGCGCGCAAGATATCCCAATTCTCGATTCCCCTATCCCTATCCTTTCGCAATCATGTTACATAAGAAAGGATTTAGGCCTCAAGAGGGCATAAACATGCGAAGTGGCGGAAGGGGCCAATCAGGAAACGGGTGTCGCTTCGCCTGCCCTTTGCTCCTTCTGAAATGTCCCGCCTTTGCCACAGTTCCAAATACTGCCGCGAGCTGTTGCTCACGGTGTGAGGCTCGCATTTTTTGTCTTGCTGGGGATCGCGGGCGCAGGCTTCGGGACAGCTTATCGTGTAGGGCTTAGAGGCCTTGAGCTTAGGATTTACTTGATTTTCCGCAATACCCAAGCCCGGAACCTAAACCCCAAACCGTGCCGAGGCCCCCCAAATAAAGGCCCCCCAAAACCCTGAACCATAAGCCCTAAACCCTGAACCCTAAGCCCTAATCATGAACCCTAAACCCTAATCATGAACCCTAAACCCTGAAGCCCGAACCCTGAACCCGAACCCTAATCGGTTTAGGCGAACAGACTCAGCGCGTGGATTCTTAAGACTGTCAGGTCCCAAGCCCCAAAGCTCCAAGTCCGATGCCAGCAGCTCAAGACCCCTAAAGGTTCAGAGCTCAGGGGGCTTGGGGTTTTGGTCTTTTGGGTTTCAGGCTTTTGTGTCTCAGGGCTTTGGGGTTTGGGCACTTAGGCTTTAGACGGGATTGAATTCCAAGACTCCTACTAGAAGCCGTCTATGAGGGGAGTAAGGTCTAGGGCGGTTTAGGGTTGTGACACTGGGAACGGCGAGGTTTTGGGCCCAAACTCCGAACCGAAGCCACGAAGCCCCGTTCTACAACCAGAGGTCCCCCATGAAACCCTACTCAACCTCTCTATCAATCCTTAAGTCCAGCAGAAACCCTACTCATGGTCCCTATTATACATCCTCCCTGTAAAAGCCCCCATGCCTGGTCGTGGTGCCTCCGCAGTCGGCAGAGAGGACGAGCTTGCTGCCGTCAGACAGCGGCTGAGGCTCCAGCTTGGCACCCTCGGATAGGCTTTTTTGGCTCGGGCTTCGGGCAGTCTCAGACTTTTGGGCTTGGGCGTTCGAACTTGCAAGGCTTCATTCAGGTTCGGGCATCACTGCGACCGAAAGTCGTGATACTGCCGGCCGTGCTACCTATGCATCTTGGCACTAGCTATGCGTCGTCTCGCTATGTCCGTGAAGTAACCGTCGGCGCTGCCGTCCGTGCCGTCGCCGAAGTCGTCAACGCTTAAAGTCCCATCAGTGCTACCGACATACTCGAACCGGTTCTGCCACTCCGTTTCCTGTCGCTACGATGGCTCGCTCGAAGTGTTGCGAGTGTCGCTGTTGGCCAAAATTCGAATAGCGATTACGATCAAAATCTTGCGATTGCAATCACAAGTCTTTTTCACTGGCACTGCCGTCGTCGTCGTGGTTGTCGTAGTAGTCGTAGTAGTCGTAGTAGTAGTAGTAGTAGTAGTAGTAGTAGTAGCAGTAGTAGTAGTAGTAGCAGTAGTAGTAGGAGGAGGAGCAGTAGTAGTAGGAGGAGTAGTAGTAGCAGCAGTCGTCGTCGTAGTGGTAGCAGCAGCAGCCAAAATGGTCATAGCAGTTACTCGCATGAATAGCCACAGCAGCAGCGCAAGCAGTAGTACACAACAAGAACCAATTACAGAGACAAGTTCTGTTGCTTTGAAAACTGCTCAGAAATTGCACGAGCGGCAGCTAGGTGAGGCGGCCGAAATTGCGGAAGATGTGGCTGCACCTGGCGAGCGTCCCACGGTCCAGGTCTGGAGGTTCTAGGGTTTTGGGTTTAGGGTTCATAGTTTACGGAGAAGGGGCTTATGGTTCAGGGTTTAGGTATTATGTAGGGGCGTATGGTTTATGCTTGGGGTTTAAGGTTTATGGTTCAAGGGTTGTGGACATCCAAAACCCGTCCCTCAGAACTCCGAAATCCTACAGTGCCGCCAGCACGGCTTTCTCGGATATACAAGCCTTTGAGCTCAGCTGCAACACAGGTATATACCTTAATAATTAGAATAGGGTTTTGGGGCCCATTGCACTATAAATATAATCAGCAACCCCCAAAGTAGTATAAGTATAGGTAATACGTAAGGAGGAACCCTCAAATTAGTATAGGTAATGATTCAAGCCCCTAATTGGGTGCAGTGGCTTATGCAGTAGCTCGGGGCTTTCGAGCTGAAGTCTAGTTTCGGGGCGTAGGGAGGCTCCTGATCCTGTGTCTTGAGTTACGGGTTTACTGTTTAGGGTTTAGGATTTCGAGTTTTTGGGCTTGGGGTTTACGATCATCAGCAGCACCACCGAGCCAATAACAAGTCTGTCTCTGCTATGGCTTGCTGTCCGTGACGATGATTAGCACGGCCCTGCTGTTCTTCCACTCCTCTCGGCTATTCAACATCTTGCTCTAGGCAGCCAGTGGCCGGCCGAAGCTACTACTACTACTACTACTACTACTACTACTACTACTACTACTACTACTACTACTACTACTACTACTACTACTACTACTACTACCTTCTTCCATGATGGCACCCGAAACGGCTGCTTCCTCTTCGAGACCTGCAACCTGGGCCTCGAGGCTTCCACCACCACCGTCACCATGGCCATGATTGCTCATATGGGCGGTTCTCAAAATGATGGTTCCTTTTTGGGTACCCTAAATAATAGGTGCCGTATGATAATAATAGGGACCCAAAAAGGGATGCCAATTTTGACAACCACTCATACTGCTAAGCAGACAGTTGCTGCAAATGCCGCTCTTGTTGGCACGGGACTTCTGAAATCCACTGGTTGCTGCCTTGTGGCTATGACTTCTATTATCAATGGCGATCTTGGAAAAGCTGTTGCGACGAGACTTAAGATACATGTTACCATGTGCTACCATATCAGTATTTGCGCTGAATTAAAACTGCCCGCAGCATAATATAGTGCTGCAGTGTAATCGTTGATATTATTCTCGTTCTTGTCCCCATAAGAAGCATCACCAGCAGTAGCAACAGCTCCGGCATGATCACAACATGACAAGTTCTATGCGCATGAATTTCGCAATCGGCGTCGCAACACGATGATAACACTATTCTTGGAACCCGCATTTAGCCCTCCTAGAACCGGATATGGGAAGTTCCGAAAATAGGGGACCCTAGTATAGTAATTACCCTGAATAGTAGGATCCTTATTATAAGCACCCCAAAACAAGGTACCCCTCATTCTCAGAAACTCCCAATATTACTGTCAGTGGTCAGACCCGAGACAATTGCGCGAAGGGCCTCCCCCTCCGCGGCCGCGGCGTCACATCTGGCAACGCGCCAGTTTCGTTTATCTGTGTCGCCTTGGGTTGGGCTAGGTTCTTGGGCTCAAAGGGTTTGGAGGCGAAAATTTCAGGGTCTAGGGTTGGAGTGTTTTCATTCGTGTTTTCGTGTTTAAGGGCTTGGAGCTTGGGGCGGTTGGGGCCCGATGGAGGGTTTCGAGCTCATGTAGTGAGAAAGGCTTAGGGTTCAAGGCTTCAGGGTGCCTGGGTGCAGCGTGAAGGCATATGGGTAGTTGTCAATATGATGGCCCCTTTTTGGGTACCCTAAATATTAGGTGCCGTGTTATAACAAGGACCCTTCGAGAACCACCCATACTGCAAGGACCGAGCATTGTAAGGAATCACATGGGTGGTTGTCAAAAATTTGTTGGGTACCTCAAATATTAGTTGTATTGTTAAACATTAGGGACGCAAAGAGGGACCATAATTTTGACGACCACCCACATCACTACGGTATCAATCTACCTGAACATTCACGATTACTTGTACGCGAGGTTGCAAGCGCCTTGGCCCTGCTTGAAACCTCTGATATCCTCTGATAACCCGTATCAACATCCGGCAGCATGTCTAGGAAAGACCATGCGTCTAAACCCAAAAACACATTTGCCGAGAAACCTACTATAGTTACGGTACCCATGACCATATCAGTTTCACAAATTCTCAAAGAGGGCCCGGCCCTTCGCAAGGAGCGCGGCAGTCGCGGAGGCCGCGGCAAGCCCTGCCAGGCCTGGCATTCCAAACACTGGCCTAGGAAAACAGGTGGGTTGATGACGGTCGCTTTAGGACTCAGGGTTTGTTTTGAGCCCCTTTTTAAGACTCAGGCTTTGGGGTTTAGGGCTTAGGACTACAATCAATCAACTACACCCACAACATGAGGTCACCCAACATTTCCTCAGCCTGATCAAACGGCCAAAAGCCCGCTGGGATTTAAGGTTTGGCGAAAGCGGTTTGCCCAAACTCTGTGTCCTAAGCCCGAAAACCGTAAAGTGTAGATCTTCGAACCCCAACTTCCCAGCCCTAAACTCTAAACCCTTAAACATAAACTGCTCGAGCGTGTTAGGACGTCGGGATTTCCGGTCTCCCACGTTTCCTGCCCATGGCATGAGGTTTGGGGTCTAGGTTGGCAACACGAGGGCTAAAGGATCATGTACTGATCAGTAGACGTCGCCCCTGAATAAGGATGATGCAAGAGCTCCCCACGAGTAAGAGAGGGATCTGAATATAAAGGCCTTAAAGACGGGCTGCCCTTAGCACTCAAGGGTCCAAGAAACCAAGCTCGGTTGAGTTTTGTGTGGCCATGGAGTGAAAAGCCCGGACGGGACAGGTGGCAAGCTGCTCGCATATGATAAAGGGCCTTAAGAAGCATTCGAGAAGGTTTTGGGGTCTGTGGTGCTATGAACGTAGTACTGAGCCCTTCCCGGGTAGTTGTCAAAATTAGGGTTCCTTTTGGGGGTTCCTAAAATAATACGGCACATAATATTTAGGGTACCCAAAAAGTGAGCATCATTTTGACAACCACCCATATTCTCTGCGTGCATCTCTTTTACCTTCACTTCTGCATCTCACCTGTCGGCCAGCTTGGGGCTTGGGGTGTGGTCGTTGTGACAGAAAGCCCCACTGAGGCGGCCTTCAATAAACTTCCCTGCGTTGATATGGGAGCTTCCGAAAATGGGGGACCCTAATCTAGTGCCCTAAATTGTAGGATCCTTATTATGATAAGGACCCCAAAATAAGGTACCCCTAATTTTCGGAAACTCCCAAACCCTAAACCCTATAGATCCCTTATAGGAGCCATAAAGGAACCCTTATAGATCCCCTTAAAGGTACCCCTAATATGCAGCATCCCTAGGCAAACCCTAAACCCTGGCCCACCTCTCAGCGAAAAGTCGCTCTGGCCCTGGGCACGCAGCGCCGCATGCCATGGGCACGCTCGAAAGGCTCTCATGGGGCCTCCAAGCCCGGGGCCTCGAGTTGAGGCGCAGAAAAGCCGTAAAGTCAAAGTAGGAGTCCTGAGCCCTAAACCCTAAACGTGGTGTCTGCTTGATAAGGACAGGGCCCATTCTCCCAAAGCTCTGTCTCTTCCGCCTTTCGTGAGGCACCATCTCAAAGAGTCCAACATGCCCAGCAAGGAACATGTTAACAAGCATGTCAAACCCTTCAAACTCATGATCTCCGTGATCTCGACTCTTCTTCGTCTGTTGCTGGAGCCTTCAGATACCTTGCAACTCCCACCACCACTGCCACTGTCATCGTCACGCACGCCGAAACTACTACGATTGCCTTACTTGTACAACCTATCGGCAGGCTCCGCCGAGGAGAACAAGTTCAAGAGCTACCAGGGCTCAGGGGTTAGGCATTAGGATTATGGGTTTAGGGTTTCGGGGCTTAGCTGCGTTTAGGATTCTTGGGGTGCTCTCCAGGTGCTGAAAGGTGTGGCGGCTCGGGTGCTATGGCTTCGAGGTTTTAGGCTACACCGAGCTTTCCGGGGGCTGATCTAGGCCGGAAGTAGATTGAAGCCCATGTGGGTTTGAGGGGCTGAAAGAAAGCACGAATGGTTTTGCTCAACGACCTTGGCAGGAGCGAACTTCGTGTCCTGCTATTCGTCGGTGTCCGACAAGTGCCGGTTCACCGCTCAACCAGAATCTCCATCGTCCACTGCCAGTTTTAATCTGATTCAAGCCAAAACGATACGCCCGAAACTCAACCGGAACCTTAGGCCCTGAGCCCGAAAACCTTCCAGCCTCAGAGGGAATTTTGGAGTTTCTGGTCCCTTCTCCGACCACTCCGACATTTTGGCGGCTTTTAAGCTTTTCCGAGAAGGGGCTTAGGGGCCTAGGCTTTGGGGTGTCGGCTTTGGGGTCTGGTGTTTCGGTCGCTGGGGTTAAGGACAGCGGCCTCGCGGCTTGGGATCTAGGGTGTGGGGGCTGAGTCTGGGTTTGATTGCATGGGGTCTAGGGGTTTCAGGGTAGAAGCTTGAGGCCTTCGTTTGGGTGAGGAGAAACGAGAACCATGTCAGCTAATCTGAGCATCATAATGATCGCAAACAAAAAGGACTTGCACAAGCTTTGCCAACAAATCCTACTACTAACAATAGTATGGTTGTTGCTTGTCCATGAACAGCAAAGAAGCAGGTACGAAAAGCCACCGGAATCTCCTGCAGCTGCATTCGGTCGGGAAGGAGTGCAATGAGCAGGCCGCATCACCCGCGAATCACGAAACCCAAAGTCGCAACCCTACACCCGTGAATCTTAGATCCTAAGACCCTGTGAATCCGATGCCTGAAGCGAGCGGCCCTGCACCCAGCTCTAAGCGTGCACTTTGTGAGCAAGTCCTGCGAAGGAACTCTCCAGTCTCTGGCGACTTAGGTCTCTCGAGTTTATGGCTCTGGCGGTCAGGCCTAGGGTTGGGGTTCCGTGCTAATGCTGCTGCGGCCTTCAGTCTGAGAGTTGACGTGAGGGCTTAGGAGTTAGCCTCGTCTTGCTCAAGCGGCATTACCAATCTGTGCCATTAAAAATCGCATCGCTGCGAGACTGCGCACGCTGTGCTGTTGCCGTTTTTTTGGAAGTCTCTGCAAACTGAGCCCTTCGTCGAATATTTCTAGATAAGGGCTGAGGGCTCAGGGATGGAAAAGGCCTACGTACCGGGGAAGGCCTTCGTGGGCTTCTTACACCATAGCTTGGAAGGAACATGACAACGCTTCAGACGACATCTTTCAGTATTGATGCTACAGTGGTTGCGGCTTGGCATTTGGGAACCCTAGACTGTCCTAATACACGGGCGGCAATGATCAGAATAGGGTTTTCGAACACGGCTTCCCTTGTTAACGCTGAATTATGAGAGACTCCCATGTCAGGGCCCTGCCTCACTCCCCGGCCAAGATGCACATGGAGGCAGGCACCCTTCTGGTGTGCCACGAGCACGGGCTCGTGGCGTCGAGGGCAACACAGATCTTCCAATATGCCTACGAAAAACTACTAACAAGTCTCAAACCTTCTTGATCAACGTATGCTGGAAGATCTGATAAAGGCACAGCATGATTTGCAGTGGGGCGTGCGAGTTCGCCAGCAAGCTGCTGAAAGAAGCCACGGAACAAAGAGCACACCTCGACAGGGTTGGGAAAAAACACGGGGTCCCCGGGGGCCGCAACCGCTCCCAAGTGGTGCGCCCGGGGATCAAAACTGTCATCCTACCCGGGCTTCAACCGCGAAAACGTAAGCTCAATCTGGATAAGATAGGGGCCTCAATAATTAGAATAGGGTTTCGGGATATATTGAATTATAGTTCTAACTAATAGCGCCAAGACAGTATCGGTAATTATGTCTGAACCCCTTCGCCCGGGAGGAGATGCCGAAAGCTTTGAGATCGTCAACTTGGAGCTCTAAGACAGTTTTGACATATTCTGTAAGTATCAAAAATTCGAGAGGGTTTTAAGATTTATGATATACATAGATATGTGTGGGTTGAACCTTTACGCTCTGTTTGACAACCGCCCTCTGGCCAGCTACACATTAAGAACGTTTCACTCCATACGTGCTATGGGATTTAGGGCTTGAGTTTAAGGTGTGGGCTTAGGCCTGGGTTGTAAGGGGAAACGTGCTTGAGGAGCCCAAAACCTTGCAACGTCCCAATGAAACCAATGTTTCGGAGTGTCTGGGGAGGGCGGGCCCAGAGACTCCAGGACATTGGTTTTTGGGCTCCTCAACCCTCGAAACTGGGACCTCTCAGGGTTTTGAACATCCTGGCAGGCGAAAGTCATGGTATGGTATAACGATACAACGAAAGTTCAGCAGAGGTTTGTCTACTATAGTTGTTACTATCATGCAAATGACGCAGCATCGCCAGCTTTTATACACTGTTGCAGAGTTGATACGAATAGGACAACATAGCAGAATGTGACACCATGTCACACGGATAGATTGCTTTACAACACAACCTCATACCGAAATGCAATGCTCTGTTGCTCATATCTGCTAGGGTTTAGGGTGTCAGGGTTGAGGGTTTAGAGCTTAAGGTCCAAGATTTAGAGCTTAGGGTTTTAGGGTTTAGGGACCGTCAACGCTAAACCCAAAGAGCCCCAAACTGGCGAGCATGAGCCGCCTTGGCTGCGGCTCACAAGCGCTGACTTCGCTACAGACGGGATCGGCGCTCCAGGGAAACTCAGGAGGTTTCTATAGGGTTTAGGGTTTAGGGTTCAGGAGCTTCGGCTCGCGGTGTCTTAGAACTCTGTCGCAGAAACTTGTCAAGATCACAGGTCATTGCTTGAAGTGCCTGAGCTTGCGTTCACATGGCTCAGGCTCTGTGGAATTGACCGGTACTGTGGCTCACCGACAACTTCTAATGGTATGCCCTCCTCTGCGCCCGAAGCCCGCACTTCAAAAGCCAGCAGCGTACCGCTAACTGTCGTCAACATCGGCGGCAGCTACTTCAATCAGCCGTCTATAGACTGGGGAGCGATCTAGAACGCATGAAAACGGGCTGCCCACACCGGAAAACCATCGTGGGGGCATCAGAAAACTTTGGCAGATGGCAGGCGGAACACCTCTCGAGCCGCTGCATCCAGAGGGCATGTTGTGCACTCTCTGGAAGCCTTGCCTGGGTTCTTGCTAAATGAACTACATTTAAGATACCATCATAAAGATCCATAATACGTGATATGGTTTCCTCATTATAGCAACTTAAACTATGTAAGTCCCTTAACAAGAACCCCGTTGCGGGGGATGCCCGGCACCTGCAAGGACGAGCAGCCCAATGTTGCCTTCGATCACGGCGGCTACGACGACGAAGCTTCGGGTATCGGGTTATGGGGGCCTTCATACTTAGAGTAGGGTTAACTCCTTTCTACGGATTTCTAGGGCTCCTTTAAGGGTTCTATAAAGGATCTATATTTATATAGGGGCCTTCATAATTAGAATATGGTTTTGGTGTAATTATATTATGCTCTCATGATGGTAAGGCACCCTAAGGCAAAAATGCTGTTGTTAACCATTCCGACCCCTACATTACGATTGAGGGTTCTCGGATCAGTCTGGGGTTCCGAGTTTAAGGTTTAGGGCTTTAGGGTTTTAGGGTTTAGGGCTGTAGGGTTTGGGGTTTAGGGCTGTAGGGTTTAGGGGTTTAGGGTTTTGGGTTTAGGCGGGTACCAGCCCCATGCTACAGGAGCCTCAGGAAAGAGGAGCAACTCTCATTCCTGAAGGGTCCTGGTAGCCCGCTTGTCCGATATCGCATGTTGCAATATAGGGGCCTCACGGTTTAGGGTTTAGGGTTTAGGGTTTAGGGTTTAGGGTTTAATTAGACTAGGGTTTGGGGGCCGGTACTATAAAGATAAGAAGGAACCCCAAAGAAGTACAGGTAACTATTAAGGGGCCCCTACATTACATGAACCTTAGCACGCTGCTCTACTTGTTCAGAGCCGTGTCCGAGACTCCACTGGGCATTTCATCCACAAGATCGAAAGCACGACGGAACTCAGGGCAAGCTGTTATCTAAATCTACCATGGATTCGATCATAGGGTTTAGAGTCACTGGTGAACTCCACCGGTGTTTTCCGAGTACTACAAGTAGAATGCTTCTCTGGTAATCTGGTAATGTGTGTGGTTCGGGTGGGCGTGTCCGTGAGTAGCATGGTCTTGCAGCTCTCATTTCCCCTTTCGCATCTTACTTGCTGGCCTCTGACGCTTCCGCCTCCGCGGCGCTGGACAGGTTCAGCCCGGCCAGCACTGTCAGTGACTCAAAACGTTGGCATGTCACACGGCGCAGTCTCAGATGTCAATGAGACGGTCGCTCAGGGTTGGCGAGCCTGCAGCCAAAGCGCCTCTCCCTACGAAACAACGACTCCTCTAGACTTCATAAGAGCGAGACTATAGTCAACAGAATGGCACATGGGTGGTTGTCAAAATTATGGTCCCTTTTTGGGTCCTTAGTATAGTACGGCACCTATTATTGAGG